TTCAATAATATAAGTTAATATATAGTAAATATATTTAAGATCCAATAAATATTGCATATATACTTGTGGTGTGATATGTTATTAGTGTCAGTCTAGTTACTACTATTATATTGTGAATAACTATGCATATATAATATAGCTATATATGTACTATGTAATGACTAATTGTATAGTTAAACGAGTAAACCATATTTATCAATTGCATAAAAATAACTATGGCCTCCATTTGTGTCCACCATGAAGTTTGCATAATTCATCAATAGTGAATAGCATACTATGTACTATATGATCATTGGTAATATGTATACTCATAATGTATCATCTATATACTATGTATGATATTGTGAATAGTATATACTGTATCATGACTCACTACTCTCATAAATATCTAATGTAATATATGAGTCTCATAACTAATAGTCGATTATCATGTATATATTATAATATTACTGATTATAGTAGTATGTATGTTAGTATGACTACTGTTAGTATACATTGCTATCATATAATGTTATTATCTATGTGAATATATGTATATATATTGGGTGATTTATGCTATAGTATTCTAAAAAATAATGATCAGACTTAATAATAGGAAATATATTTTTATAGGTGACTATCCCTGTTTTTATATGCTATATATATGTATTACATGTATAACTATATATGATATATATAGCTATAGACTATATTACTGTATATTGTATGCTAGTATAGTATATGTATCATATGTATGATGCATATAGACATATGTGACTGTATATGATTTCACTCAATGTTTCTATTAGTGGGAGAATAGTATATGTACTATATGATGAGTGTGTATATATATTGTATTTCTATCTCTATTATCTAATGTATATGTCCTAATAATATGGTTGGGGTTACTAGTATAAGCTCTCACTGTATATTCTTATATATGTATTTATAATATATACCTGTATATAATATAATATGTATCTATTATATCATAGTTTAGATTCATACCCTCCTTATATACTATAATGTATATTGTAAATACCATTATTATCATATATGCTCCTGAGCTACTATATTAATATGTTATAGTATATATTTTTACCAATTTTTATGCTGTGTGCTACTTGCTCCTTCTATTCTAGTTATGACTATATATGTTATAGTACATATAATGTATGTGCTGAATATATGCACTTGTTGCAGAGGTGATAGATGTAATGCTATGCTATAGTCACGTCGTCTAAATAATTATCATGAGATTTGTCTTACTTATCTAGATCATATCTGTGCATGCGGCGTGCAGCATTGCATAGATAGTGCATGGTCATGTATGTATTGTATGTATACGTGTAACTAGCCTTATCTATGTTAGTCATGAATTGTATGGTATAATACTTAGTACTATATTATATATTATGTATATGTATATGGTATGTAATATATATTATATATGTATAATGTATTATGTATGCATATATATATGTTTATGTATGGTATTAATATATCATATGGTATATGTTATTATGTATATATATATGTATATGTTATTATGTATGATTATATATTGTATATGTATTATGTATATTATATGTATATGTATTATGTATATATATGTATATGTATTATGTATATATAATGTATTTAAATGTATTATGTAATATATATGTATATGTATTATGTATATATTAAAAATATAGTATATAATATATTATGTATATATTTATGTACTATATATATATATAATATATATATATGTATATGTATTATTGTATATATAGTATATATTGTTATTATTGATAATATATATATGTATTATGTATAATATTAATTGTATATGTATATGTTTATGTATATTAATATTATATCATATGATGTTTATGTATATATATATATATGCTCATTACTGTATTATACTCATATGTATTTGCTTACTATGTACTATCATGTAGTGAAACATTATATAATATTACTCATGATTATGTATGTATATATATCGGTATATGCTATAATGTATTGAATATAGTATATTGTGAGTACTGTATTATTCGTACTGTAGTATATATATATGGTGATATGTATTATAGTCATCTTGTCACATATCCATATTATATACTAATTTACTAATATACTGTCAATTCTTTTGCTGATTCTTGTATGTCTAAAAACATTTAGTGGTCATATATAATTCAATGGTCAGTAGCATTGTACTATGTATACTAAATCCTAATTTACTCACTATTCACTTTGTATCTATGATACCATATGATCTATCATAAGTACCTGATATCCTGATGGTAGTATTACTTATAAACCTGTATTAGTGCTGTATATGTGATATGTGACTGGACTTCAATTAGTAGTATATACTATTTATGCCTATATATTTGCAGTCACTTATGCTAAATCCTCTTCATGTCATGTATCAGTGATTGCATGTCATACTATGTTAGGTACTACTAATTGATATGTATAGTAGTTCGCCATCTACTATGTATATGTATTATGTATTAGTATTATAGTATGATATTATGCTTTTTATCGTCCATCTCTCTCATGCTGTTAGTCCTACTGAAGCTTATATTACTTTTCTTCACTGTATGTATGTAAATCTTATGATGCTAGTTGTCAGATATGAATGTTTTCACTGGAAATATATAAACTTTTACTTTGACCTGCTATTTTGCCTCAGTCATTTCGTACTTTTATTTTCTTCATAATGTTGATGGTGACAAAACTGATGTATGTACTGCTATATATTAAGGTGGTCTTTTTCTTGATGTATATAGATATCGTCATTATATTAATTGGTGTATTGTATTCAATTTGATCATGAAACAGATTCAATCCATTCATATTATTTGTATCACATAATGCTCGTAATCCTCTCTTGGTGAGACTATTAAGGTTTATAGGCTCGTTCCTGTATGAAACGGGTATTGACGGACAGACTTCTTATACTCGCATATATTGTATATATGAATCTTCTATTTCACTATTGTATACTTATATTGTGGTTTTTCAAAGTATGGAATCATGTTATTCCTATTGTATAGATAGTAATTACTCGCGCTGACTATCAACATAATACAAATAGGCTCACTTCAAATTATTTTATGCTACATAATACATCTAGTGTTAGTATATATTCATTGAGTCTGTAGTATATTATGAGCATATATCTCATGTAATATATTATTTAATAAGTATATATGAATTAGAATGTATTACTCTACTCATGAATTCTCTTATGGTATGTATCAATCACACATCGTGATACATATTTATTTGCAAATATATATATTCTTTCCATACTGTGGACCAAGCACATGGCTTGTGCAGTATTGTATTCTCTAAAGTGGTACTCAAAATAACGTTTTATTTTATTATGTTATATATATATATTATATATTATGTGTTGTGTGTGTGTGTGTGGTGTGTGTGTGTGTTATCTGCGTAGATAGTCATTGTCATGTATGCATCACTTAGTTCATTTTAAAGAGTGCACTTGCAGATTTGCAGAGCTGAACTTACGGTGAGGTGAGAAGAATTTTATTAGTGCATACAGGTCTAGGTAGCCTGTTTGTAGTAATTGGTAGGGAGTCCTTCGCGTGCATAATGCTCCTCTTAATAGACGTGAAGACAATAAGATTCTGAGTCTACGTGCTTAATAGTTCTTCAGATCTTCAGGGAATGTGCTATCTCGAGAACTTCACTTATTCATAACTTACTTGTATTTTTTGACTTGATCCTCTCACATAATTGGCTTCTCAGTATAACTGGTCAATACGAAGATTACATTGTGTCAATGTGTAGTTGTTCATTTTTTGCATTTCAGTGTTAGGTATGTTGTTTCTTTGTCTTTTTTAGGATATAGAGCTCATACGTAATCAGACAATAAGCCACTTATTTTTACTAGCTGAACTCATAAATATATAAAAAAGAAAAAATACATGCAGCCTCAACCTCTTTTTATAAAGTAAGGTGTACACATTTCTCACAGTAAATTCGATCTATTCAAATTATACAAAAGTTGATGGTAGCACTGTAATTTATAGGGCACATCAAGTAATTATGTGATACACTAGATATAAAGTATGATAAGAATTGATGGTTGCTCATTTGACCATTCAAGTGGCTCCCATGTTGAAAGCACTTCATCAAATTCTTGACATCTAGTGCACTTAATTTGTATATACATTTATTTTTCTTGTTCAAATCACTAGATGGTCATAAGGGAACTCAGCGCATAGCTCATAAGACATTTAAAGGGCTTTATTATGTGAAACTTCTTAAGCTTTAGTTAAATCATGAAAAGAGATATAAGCTTAATATTTACATTCAATTCAGGATATTTAAAAATCATTACTAGTGACTCGTCCATGAAAAGCTCTTATACCTAGACCACAGGTAAAGTCTATGGAAATTCTATCTGTATCTTTTGACTCTATACTCTCTTGTCTTGGCAGGTCATATTGCATTTATAAACATATAATGTGTAGCAATTCCTTACTATCTTGGGCAAATTGTGGTTTCAGTCAGCAAGAGGTTATATTAGAGATTAAGACTCTCTATGATGTGTAGACAAGTTACTATAATCTATTTGCCAGTTCTCACATTCCTTCACTCAGTTCGTTATCTTTTTGTTTACCCATGGTCACGTTTTCTACTAGTGCATTCTACTATTCATATCTTTTCTAAATTTGTTGCAATGTAGACACTATATGTTCCTTTTGTTGCAGTGAACTTTGTTCCTTGATCTGTATATAGTTTATAAATGTTTTTTTTTTTCTTCTTCTTTTCAGATATTTAGAGAGGGGCCAGGCATCATTCGTTATTTACATCTGACAAGGACTTGAATTGGTAGAATGAAGGGGCTACTTTTTTGGGGACAGCAAGATCAGTATGGAGGAATCACAGTACTTGCACAAAGATAATAAGATTAATGAGCCTATTGTGGAAGTGCAGCAAATAGCATCCCACAATGTTATGTGGATGCAGTAACAAAAATCAATAACCTATGAATGTCGGAAAAGTGGTGCGGTAAAAGGTTTGCTCAAGAGAGTCATCTGAATAACCACTTGGTTTGGCATAGGAAGGAGAAGAAGTTTGAGTGTGGAATCTGCAGCAAGAGGTTTACCATGGAAAGTCATCTTGACAGTCACATGATTGTGCATAGCGCTGAGAAGAATTTTAAGTGTCAAGTTTGTGAAAAGTGCTTCACAATGGAGAGCCACTTGAATGGTCACATGCTTGTCCATACTGAGGAAAAGAACTTTGAATGTGACATCTGTCATAAAGCATTTATCATGGAGAATCACCTTAGAAGTCATAAACTTGTACATATCAAGGAAAAGAAGTTTGAATGCATGAAGTGTGGCAAGCGCTTTGGGCAAAGAAGTCACCTGAACAGTCACATGCATTCGCACAATGTTGAAAAGCGTTTTGAATGTGGAGTCTGCGGAAAACGTTTTGCTTTAGAGATTCATCTCACAAGCCATGTGCTTGTCCACAGTATGGAAAAGAAGTTTGAATGCGATGTGTGTGGCAAGAGATTCATGATGGAGATTCATCTTAATAGCCATCGCCAGGTACACAGTGTTGAGAAGAAGTTTGAGTGCCTTGTTTGTGGCAAGCGGTTCTCTATGGAAAGTCACTTGAACAGCCACATGATTGTTCACAGTGAAAAGAGATTTGAATGCGAAGTCTGTCGCAAACGTTTCACAAGGAAGGCACACCTAAATAGCCACAGGTTTGTGCATAGTGAAGAAAAGAGGTTTGAATGTCATGTATGCCATAAGCGATTCACCCAAGAAAGCCACCTAAGCAGTCACATGTTTGTCCACAATGAAGAAAAAAAGTACGAATGCGAGGAATGTGGCAAGAAGTTTATCCAGGAAATTCATCTCAACAGTCATAGATTCATACACAGTGAAGAAAAAAAGCTTGAGGCAAGCGAGTGGGGGAAAAGATTACCGGATGGCCAACTCAATGGCCATGGTGCACATGACATGATGAAGAGATTTGCATGTGATGAATGTGGCAAAAGGTTTTCTCAATTGAGTCACCTCAACAGCCACAGGTTTGTACACACGGAGCAGAAGATCTATGGTTGCGAGGAATGTGGTAAAAGGTTTAGACAAGAAAGCCACTTGAATAGCCACATGTTTGTGCACAGTCAGAAGAAGAGATTTGAATGTATGGAATGTGGAAAGAGATTTACACAGGAAAGCCACCTTAATAGCCACCGATTTGTTCACAGTGAGAGAAAAGGAATGGATTACACTGAATACACAAAGCAGTATCCATTGCCACAGAAGGCAGTCACCAACAATCATGCTGCTGCTGCTGCAGCTGCTGCAGTTGTAGATAAGAAGACTCATGAATATTTAGAGACCATGAAGAACTTCCCTCAACAAGCATATCAGCCAACATATGCATATGCACAGTGGGAGCAAGTAAGAACGCTATGGACAATGTAGCCAGGACATGAAATAATGGTATTAAATTTGTAGGAGGGATGACTAATGAAAAGAAATTTGAGCCTGCCACCATTATGGACTATTTGTAAAGTAGAATCAAATATTAGCACACAAAGTTAACTTTTCCCAATAGAACATTGTGATATAGCACATTGCTTATGAACTCTTCCTTCAGTCAATATCAGAATGCTTAGTTCTGTGTTGAAAAGGGGCCTTAAAATATTTCTCTTATGCTGTATTATTTTTTAGATACAGTACCTCCTGAAAACTGTAGAATGACAAGGTCTCAACATCTTTCATCAGATGTAAATATAATGGTGCTTTAGATGGACATTTTGATTTGAAGTGGTAGAGAAATTCATTCATAAGTAAGATGATATTGCATTTAATGCATTAGTGATCTTTCCACATTGATGAATGACTTTCATGGTGGCCAAAGGGCCAGTTTTTATGGCCAATGTAATGGTTTACTGGTTTTCTAAGTTACTATGTAGTTGATAATGTGTTATGTCCAAAAAATGTGACTGATCGGCAAGCACCACAAGTGATTTTGGTCTAATTATTTATTTTACTTTTAATTGAATATCTGTGTTATTTCTCAAATTATAGTGTGTGATAGACAACATGTGTTGTAGCATATATTCACAATTTCCCTGTCATTGAGGTGACGAAGATGTACCGTAGTTAAAGAGAAAATGCATTCACATCACCTGTGCAATTGATAGGTTCAATGTTCCAGGAGCTTTCCCTAATTTGCAGTCAAGGTAGTTGTCTGATTGCAATTAAATACAAGGAATGCTTGTGTTTAGAATTTTTTATATTGGTTTGTAGCATTTTCCAAGTATATCTTGAGCTATGCATCAACTTGTTCTGTTGCACATGTATAAGAGCTAGTAATTTCAGAGTGAATCTTAAAGAGAAAAAAGTGCCAATTTAATTTTGTAAATTGAAAATTCCATTAGAAGGTCTGGCACTAGTTGTTTAGATTGTATTGAATTCATAAATATTTTCTTGGATGTGAATTCAGACGGTAAAAATTTGGCTTGTAGTTAGTGATTATCATGGCATCGTGAAACTGAGCAGTTGCTTGTTTGTGTGAGTAAAGTCCTTTGAAATTTTAAATGAAATCTTTATTGTTATCAGCATCAAGTGTTCTGTATTGTTTTGAGAAAGAATGGATAGATGGTGACATGTAACAAAAAAGAAATGGTAGGAGACTGATTTGAATTGTCTTGTATATCTAGGAAAAGTTCTGAGTGAGGAAGAATATTTTCACATAGCATAAGAAATGTATTTGATGCACTTGATTTAAGTATACATCAGAAATGCTTGTGTTGAAGATTATGCTCTCTCTCTCTCTCTCTCTCTCTCTCTCTCTCTCTCTCTCTCTCTCTCTCTCTCTCTCTCTTCTCTCTCTCTCTCTCTCTCTCTCTCTCTCTCTCATCTCCCTCTCCCTCTCCTCTCCCTCTCCCTCTCCCTCTCCCTCTCCCTCTCCCTCTCCCTCTCCCTCCCTCTCCCTCTCCCTCCCTCCCTCCCTCCCTCCCTCCCTCCTCCCTCCTCCCTCCCTCCCTCTCCCTCCTCCCTCCCTCCCTCCCTCCTCCCTCCCTCCCTCCCTCCCTCTCTTCCTCTCTCCCCCCCCTCCCTTTCACATATGTATTTCTGATGAAGCTTAGTTAAAATGTCAAATTCATATTTTGCAATGTGAAGTTTATTTCCATATACACTTTTTCTAAATTTGTTACAATTGAAGTCAGAAATGTGTTAGTTTCAATATCTAAAATATTTTTATATTCTTGTAGCCATCTAATTATGACACAAGGTGTATAGTGCATGAAAGTCTTGTTTTGACATTAACCATAAGGAGAAATAAAATGAGCATAGTTCTGCTGCATATTGAAAATATGGTTAACAGGACACACTTGATGAGACCAAGTGTAATATATTTCTGACAAAACTCCTAAGATGTAAATAAATACCCAAACTTTGGTTTTGTTGTCTTTTGTATAAGGAGTGTTGAGGATAGTTTTATTTTATTATCATTTATAATAATTTTTCAATTCATCATGCAAAATATCTCCAAGAAGAATATGTTTGTGATCTGCATGGTTAATATCATTATTTAATTTATTTTATTCATGGAAAGTGACAGTTGCATGGGACTGAATGCAACTGTATCATTTGTCATTATTTCAACAAAAATTGACACAATGTCTGCCTTTAGAATAGATTATTTCACTTCCAGATGAAAAGATAGTGAATATGAAAACAATTCAGTATTTTCTTATGTTTAGTACTTTTATGACAACATATGTATGTATGTTGCACTATATAACTTGTTATTAAATATTAGCATACCAATTTGATGTTAATTTTCTTTAACAATTTACTGATATATTGGATTCAAGCATATTTTTTATCATTAATCAATATCCATGATTTCAGAATGAATGCCAAACCACCATGATTCAAAGGCAATCGGATACTGGTTTCATGAACTCTGTGAGTTCTGACCAAAATTATTTAGGCAAAGATGTTTTTCTTATAGCAGAGTTGAGTACATTCTTTTTCAACAGTTTCAGTATTGCTCTTGTTACTATTATTATTATTATTATTATTATTATTATTATTATTATAATACTTTTTCAATTTGATTGAAAGCCTAGATCTAAATCATGCAGCAGGAGACTGTTGTATGGCATCCTGTACCTGGGCAGCTGCAGGTGTTAAGGTCATTTTTGTATTTATCCTTACCTGCCAAGATCTCACTTTTTCAGTATAGATTACTGTATTTCTATTGTTTGGGATAGGCTGGATATGTTTTACCATTTTGTAAGTTATTACCCTTAGAAGGTAGGTTACTAAAGTAAGATTGAATTTAAGATTGTAAATAAAGCTTAATTTGTAAGTCTTGTGTAAGGTTAGTAAATTAGACTTTTGCCTAGGAGTGAATAAAACCACAAAACACAAAAAAAATGTAATTCCCATCATTGTAATGGGGACTTTATGTAAATTGGTAGCTGTAGGATGGGAATTTCAGGATTCAAAAATGTATGCAAAATTTTTTAAATTGGTGGATAAAGAATTGAAAAAATGCAACTAATCTGAAATATTCAGCTTACATCTCCCTTCATTAAAAATAGAAAATGTAGATTATTTGGTAAATGTATTTGACTTTATTTTGTTAGTGAAAGTTGGTACCTCGCACTTATCAGTGAGTCGAGATAAACCAAATTTTTGCCCAGGTAATATCTCCCATTTTTACTTCTATTATCTAATATTAACAATTGTACAACTTTTGTTAAATAAACTCTTTCATTTTTATAAAAGTTGTGTATCATTTTGCCCCATACCTGTGATCTTTCACAAAAAGCCAGGATACTGAATAGCAGGTCAATAATAACAAAGCACCAGGTGACTGTTATGGAAAGACAGAAAAATTAAGTCAAAGTTGGCTTATTTTTTATTTTTCTGCTGTGGATTTAAAACGTAATACTAATGAAAAATGAATAAATTTACAAATCAGTATTGTCATAATTGGCAATCTGTCATTTAAACTTGAAAACCATATATCAGATGTGTCTAAATTCAGTCTTTCCAGAAAAAGAATTTACTGAATCAACATTACACTTAATTTATAATCTCTCTGACAGGGATTTGAACCCCCACCGCCATTGCAAAGAAATCACAAGACGGGCACTCTATCCACTGATACACGACCCAACAAATGCCAATATAAGTGGGTAGCCTGCATTTTCGGCAGAAGTCAACCAGGAAGTGAACTTGGAAATGGAGGAGAAAGTATATATGAAACTAGTTAGTGATTCTCCAATATCATGATCATTATATGGTACACTAGTGCTATATCATGAGGCCTGGAATTAAAGCTGGCATTTTAAATAAAATAAAAGCCACTATCCCAATAAGCTTTAATAAATTACGAGTATCCTTAGTTTAAATGAAGCTCATGTTTTAATTAGTGATGTCAAGTTCATCCAAGATTTGAACTATAGAGTGTTGCCTTGTGCTTCCCCCCTCAAGTAAATACAAGAGCAATGTGACAGTGGCTTTTCTTCACATAATCACAAAACTCCAGGTACCAGTGCTTTGATCCAGTGACTATGAAACAACTCTGTATATTAGTTGATAACAAATTGGATAAGAGACATTTCATACTGATTAAATGGAGCCGTGGTTAATATAATTTTTTCTACATAATAAAACTTTTACCTTTGAAGTGTCCTGGAAAACAGCAAGACTATGGTTATGACCATTGAATTGAAGGGTATGCAAATAAATATATATATATATACATATACATATACATACACATACACATATATACATATGCACATACCACACATACAAAACACACACACACACACACACACACACACACACACACACACACACACACACACACACACACACACCACACACACACACACACATACACATATACTATATATATAAAATTGTGTATATATATATATATAATATATAATATATATATATATAATATATTATATATTATTATATATATATATATATATATGGCTGAGAGGAATACCAACACAAGGATTATTGGACTAATAGCAAGCCTGTATACTGGTACTGAAAGTGCTGTAAAGTGTGGTGGGGGCCTGTCGAGCTTCTTTCCTGTTAGTCAGGAGTGAAGCAAAGGCTGTTTCCTTGCACTCTTTCAACACTTGCATGGACTGGATACTGGCAGAGCTACTGTTCTTCAAAGTCATTGTGGGGGAACGCTGGGCAATATCAAGGTTACAGACCTTGACTTTGCTGATGACGTTGCCATTCTATCTGAGTCTTTGGAACCCTAGTGGCGGCATCTCGAAATGCATTAGCAATGAAGCGAAGCCCTGGGTCGAGAGAGTTTCATACCGCTGGGAGACTAGAGCTGTAAGGGGTTCGAAGAAATAATGGGGAACTAATGTGTTTAAGAGAATTGGATTAGTTGTTTGTACGTTGTATGCGGCGCTAAGGAGTGTGAGAAGTACATCAAGAGATGTGTTTTACTAGATAACCTTGGATAATGTAGGGGAGTTCATAAGAACCATGTTTCTCTGTACTAATACTCAAATTTGATATAGGATGAGCAGAGAACTCGGATTTGGGCCAATGCAGTGAATGTAGGGGGATCTAAGGGAGTTACTCATAAAAAAGTATTTTGTAAATGTTATGTTGTGATATCGTTGTTCAGAGAATCTAATGTCTACTGGTTTACTCTAAATAAGGCCTGAGAGAGATTTAATGCCAAGGTTTGGTCAATATGGTGTAAAAGCGTGACGAATTATCCTAGTAACATATTTGTCAGTGCGATTGAGAGTTGAGTATTTGAGGGAAAGGCAGTTTGTTGGATAAGTAGGTCCGTTGGCTCAAGAGTTATGGGGGTACTGGTGGTGGTGGAGGCTGTAAGTTGTGGTGTGCTAATCAAACGTTTCAGTTGTGCTCGTGAGATCTGTGGCTAGAGTGTAGATAGCTCGCTGTGTGTTGTTTAGTGTCTGTGTGGCTACAGTGTTGATCCTGGGTGTCTGTGGGTAGATACGTGTTCAGATGTGCTATGTGATGTGAATGCTCGCATCTGTTTTGTCTCGACGTTTCTTTCAGATTAGTTGTGCTCTGTGGCTGCTCAGTTGTGTCGATGGTTGGTTCCGTCAGTTGTCGGGTGAACTGTGATGCCTGTAGTGTGGTAGTGAACCTGTGTGATTGTAGTCCGGGATGGGATGTTGCAATAGGCTGTGGTGTGTGGTCGATGAATCGGGGTGAGTGGCTGAATGATATAATCGCTGTGCCAGGGTGTGGAAGGAGATTTAGGAGATTTGGTAAGACGGGAGGTCCTGCAGCTGGCGTCTACAATGAATCCTTTCGGAGGGTGAAGGAATGATTGCGGGTGCTAATGCGCCGTCGTGTGAGTGGGGGCGGACTCGTTCAGCACGTCACCATGATTGAAAGAATGATGATGACTGATAATGATAGTATGAGCGTGTTTGTGTGTAATAATTGATAATAGTACAGTATAATATTAGTGTGTGGTTTAAATATATATTAAGTATAAATAATTA